ATAAATAAATAAATAAATAAATAAAAGATTAAATGCAGCTAATGCAAAACTGTTGGGGCTAAGGAGATAGCTTAGTGGTCTAAGCACATGCCTGGCAAGTGCAGGGTCCTGAGTTCGTCGCGCATACCCCGTGCTGTGCCAGCACCACTGAAACCGGATGGGATGGTACATGCCTATAATCCCAGGGCTGGGGTGCTGAGATGGGCGATCACTATGAATCTGAGTTACATATTGAGACCTATGCCAAATAAATAAATAAATATATGAAAGATTTTTAAAAAATGTTTATGTCTTTATGAAATAATCATTTAGATAGTAAATTTTGTTTGTTTGTTTGTTTGTTTATTTATTTATGGTCTTTTTGAGACAGGGTCTTGCTGTGCAGTTCAGGCCAGCCTTGAGCTCACTTTGTAGCCCAGGCTGTTCTCAAACTCGCAGTGATCTCCTAACTCAGCCTCCCATGCTCTGGGATTACAGGTATGTGCCACCATGCCTGGCCGATAATGATATATGTTTAATATAACTTTTAATTTCTTTTATTTAGTTAGTTATTTATGGGCTTTGTTTTTTTCTTTTTTTTTTTTTTCCAGAACCGGGGATTGAACTCAGGCTCTTGCGCTTGCCAGGCCAGCACTTACTCTACTGAGCCATCTCCCCGGCCCCTATAACTTTTAATTTTTAGCATAATAGGGTAATTTTATACATAAAGCTAGCACTTTTCATAGGAGGTTTGAGATTATTAAACTTTGTTGTGCTGCTCGTTATATTACAACTTTCTTCTTAAGTGTTTTTGGGTTTGGTTTCTAGAGTCAAGGTCTCACTGTGTAGTTCAGGCTGGCCTTGAATTAACTATGGAGCCCTCCCTGGTCTTGAACTCACAACAATCCTCCTGCCTCTGCCTCTCAAGTATTGGGATTACAGACATATACCACCATGCCTGGCTACTTTTGTTGTTCTCTAGAGATAAAATACTAATTAGATGTGTTTTAAAATTAGTAATTATTGTGAAAATTGATCAAAAGGTTTGACTTGCTAATCCTTAATGTTCTTAGTAGTCACTGTAATTAAATATGTAATTCTGACCTTTTTACTCTTTTAATTTACTTTAAGAAATTAGAAGTCTAAGTCAGATTTATCTGAAATTTAATGTTACAGAATTAACAGGAAAACTTTTTTTTGGTACGGAGAATCAAACTGATGATCTTATGCTTGCCAGGCAGGCGCTATGCTGCTGAACACATCCTTGGCTCATGATAACACTTAATCTTTTAAAGAATATTTATACTGAAAGCTGTGTTTTGTTTTATTTGTGTGTGTTCATGGACTATATACTTCTGTTGGCTTTACTAGGTGTTAATGCATTTTGGAAAGGTTTAATGCCTCGCTAAGAGACATCCATCAAGGAATCCAGAGATTGTGGCAGAGGGCTGTAGGTGTGGTTGTGTCAGCTCTCAGCTGAGTTCCCCAATTGTTTGTTCTTGGCCCCTCGGGGGGTTTGTCTGGCTTGACTTTATCATTTACAGTTACTTGCAAGTCAAGGCTTAGGTGAGGGCTAGCTTCAGATTTTTAGAGAGCATCTTTTTAGTAATATATAAATATTTTATCTAAAGTACTTTAAAGGGGCTGAGGAGATAGCTCAATAGAATAAGCGCTTACCTGACAAGCTCAAGGGCCTGAGTTCAATCCCTGGTTCCGCAAAAAGAAAGAAAGAAAAAAAGAAAGAAAGAATGAACTTTAGGATGATGTAGACATGGATGATTAAATTCACATAAGTAATGATTATATAAATAATATCATGAAATGTAAAATTATTTCTTAAAAAAAAGTCATCACAATCCATTTATGAATAGACGTGTTCCTCCCATCCAATCTCTAAGGTAAGAAATTAAACTCAAAGCTTGGTTGGCCAGATGTCCTTAGTTTGCACAATTATAGTTTTAACGTTTTTTTTTTTACTTTGACTCTCTCTTAGATAAATGAGGTAAACACACAGATCAATCAACTGATTGAAAAGAAGATGATGAGAACAGAGCCAGCTGAAGGCAAGCTGTCACTCTACAGGCAACAGGTACGATCACTCCGGGCCCATATACGTGGAGCTCTAATTTGCTTGGTGATGGAGTTATCAGAACCACCAGCTCTGTTGTCCTAGTTGTCAGATGAGAAGGAAACAAAGAATAAATGTTCTGTCATTGCTAATCTCCAGATTATTGCAAAGAATTAGTGGGAAAACCACAAAAGACATCAGTTCAAGTCTGAATTATAATACACAAGATGTTTAATTTCCTTCGTGTCTGCTGACTGTGGTGATGGAACTGTTTGTGTTTATATTAGTGAACATGGAATTTTTTTACTATTCATTTTTTTAAAAATATTTATTTATTTATTTATTTATTTACTTATTTATTTAGTGTGTGGCCAGCTCAGCCCAACAGGGGGCGGGCGGGCCAGCATGTGGTGCTGGGGGATTGAACCGAGGTCTCTGTGCTTTGCTTGAGCTTAGCTTGTTCTAAGTAGGTGCTTTAGACCACTGAGCCATCTCACCAGCCCTACTATTCATTTTTAAAATGAAAGTATTAGGTAGAATAAGTAAAGGGGACTTGTGGGCTAGCTCAGTTGTTTAAAGCACCTGCTTGGGCAAACTCAGTCAGGCGCAAGGGACTGCGGTTAGGTCCCCTGCTCCACATGCTGCACCAGACCCGCCCTTAAGGCAGCCTGAGCCAGCCAAAAAAAAAAAAAAAAAAAAAAATCCTTCTCAAGATAGTATAAATAAAGGGCTGGCCAAATAGCTCAGCAGATTAAAGCACCTGTAAGCAGGCTCAGGGGCTGGGGGTTCAATCCCCAGGCCTGCCTTGCCGGCCCCACCCCTGGGACGTGATTGTGACTGGGCATGGTGGCTCACTGGTAATCCCAGCTCTTAGGAGGCTGTAAAGAGGTGGATCACTACGAATCCAATCTGGTAATGAGACCCTTAACACCCTGTTGACCCTTACCTAAAATACAAAAAAAAAAAAAGATAGTATAAGTAAAAATACTTAGACTCTTTAGGGAGTTGAAAACAATATACTTTTTGAGATTTAAAATTAGTTTGCAGAGCAAGGCGTGGTGGTGCATGCTGTAACCCCAGCCCTTGGGAGGCTGAGGCAAGAGGATCCTTGTGAGTTTGAGACCATCCTGGGCTACAAAGTGAGCTCAGTGTCAGCCTAAACTGTGAGACCCTGTCTCAAAAAGACAAAAAAAAATTTGATTGCAAAGACTTTTTTTAAAATTTATGTAATTGGTACAGGATCTCACTGCATAGCTCGAACTTGTAGTGATCCTCCTGTTTCAGCCTCCCCAGTGCTGGGATTACAGGTGTGCATGACCACACCCAGGCTCTGTGGCTGGCTCGGCACACCCAAGGGCGGGGCCAGTGCAGCCTGTGGTACCTGGGATGGAACACTGCTCCCTGCCTTCGCCTAAGCACATGCATAGTCTGCTGTGGTCAGGCTATCTCTCCAGCCCTTGCAAAGGCTTTTGTCTTCTGACTTTGTTTTTCTATAAAAGCTATTGATTTGTTCACTATAGTTTTTTCATTGATTTTTAAAATTAGGTGTATAATATGCAAATCCCACTTTTATTTTTTATAGTGGTGGTTGGTATTGGGCATGTTATTATTCCTGTCCTAGATGGAAATAATTCATGTTTTTCTGTTAAGTAAGATCCGTATTGGACTGAGCTTTATATATATATTTTTTTTCCTTCTTCCTCTTCTTCTTCCTCCTCTTCTTCCTCCTCCCCCTCCTCCTCCCCCTCCCCCTCCCTCTCTTCCTTCCCCCTTCCCCCTCCTCTTTCTTTTTTCTGAGTGCAGGTTATCAAACCCAAGTTCCTGCACACATTAGGAAGTACTGGGGATATATTCCTTTTTTTCTTTCTTTTTCTAAGACAGAATCTCACTCTGTAATTCAGGCTGGCCTTGAACTCATGACAGTACTCTTGCTTCAGCCTTCTGAGTGCTGGGATTACAGGTGCACTGGCACCATGCCTGGCTACCTTCTTCATTTTTTAAGATGGAATATTTGCCTTTCTTTTCCTTTTCTTTCTTTTTCTCTTTTTGAGACAAGGTCTTGCTGTGCAGCTCTGGATGCCCTGGAGCTCACTTTGTAGCCTAGGCTGTCTTTTTTTTGTGTGTGTGTGTGTGTGTGTGTCTGGTTCAGCCCAGGTGGGGTTAGTGCAGCATATGGAGCTGGGGATGGAACCAAAGTCCATGCACTTTGCCTGAGCTTGCTTAAGCAGGTGCTTTAGACTGCTGAGCTATCTTGCCAGCCTTTTTTAAGAACAAAACAAAACACACAGGAAGGATAATGGAATTTTTTTTAATAGGGCTCACATTTGGGATGATGTAAACCTTGTTTCAGTACATATCTGTACTATTTCACTTAATACGACTATTTAGCTGTTTTTCTTGATTAGTTATGATTCAGTCAGGGAAATCCTCTAGGAGTTGCTAGCTAGTAGAAAGCGCTACCTTCAGGGTTAAGAGCGGGCATTTGAGTTGTGTAAAGATCTGCGTGGTTCTGATCAGTTGCTTGATGTTGAAACTGCATTTTCTTTATTTGAATGCCCCAAATATAATAGATGTTTTAACCTTTCATTTTAAAAGTATGGATATTGAGTTTGGTAAGAAGACCTGTGTTATAGTTCCAAAAATACAGCATTCTTGTGTTCTTCCAAAGAAAGGAAACCCACCATGCAGAAAAGCAGCAGGCTTGCTGTTAGCCTGTTTATGTAGTTAGAATGGATAGCATCAGAGTGTTCAGAAGACTAATATTTTTATTTCTCTGTTGAAATATTCTACATTTTCAGGACTTTTGTATTTCAAATGTTTTTAGGTTAATATTTAATAAGTGTTCCATGTCCATGCTAAGTATAGAGTTGGTGATTGTGGCCAGTAGGGTGGGGCATTTGTCAAGAAAAGCCCAGCTGATACTGAAAATTCAGCTTGGCAAAGTTTAAAAAACAGGCAAGTTCACAAGAATATAAAAGGTCAATTAGATGTCTTATTTTATATTCATATTAAATGCTCAATTAGGCATCCATCATTTCTCATAAAAAAGAAGCCAAAGCAGAGGAACTTCAGGAGACTAAGGAAAAGTTAGCCAATCTAGAGAGAGAAGTATCAGCAAAGAGAAATCAAATCCGTGAATTTGATGGCACTGAAGTTTTAAAAGGAGATGAGGTAAGTTGAGGTATCTCATGGGGGAGGGACATGAGTATTAGGTTTCATTTGCAACCACTAGTATTTTTTACTTTCTTAGTCTGAATGTTAATGAAAATTTAATATTATTTCATTAAATTTTCTTGTTTCTGGGCATAGGGGAACGCACTTGTAATTCCAGCTGCACTGGAGGCTGAGGGATGAGGGTTACAACTTGGAGGCCAGCTGGGCCACTTAGCCAGGCCCTGGCTAAAAATAAAATTCTTTTTAAAGAATTAGGGATGTAGGTTTAGTGACCAAGTGCTTACCTAGCTCGTGGAAGGCACCGATTCATTCCCCAATACTGTGAGGATAACCCAGAATCCCCTGAAAACTGGAGTCTCTTTGTAGTAGTGAGATGTTCTTGATATAAAAAATGAGGGAGACTTAGTGATTTTATGAGATAATATTCTGAACTTTCACTTTTTAATTAAATGAATATATTAGGTTTATTTATTATAAATATTAATAACATTCAAACAAAACTAGTGGAAGTTAAATTCATCTTTGTTGGTGAATGTTTCTATATAAAGGTCTAAAAAAAATATTGTTACTAAGTTTTTTGTCAGTAATGTGTGTTTGGCCAGTAGGGCTGGGACGGTTAAAATGCCCTGGGCCGGGGAGACAGCTCAGCAGCATAAGCACTTTGCCTAGCATAAAAAACAAAACCAAACCCTTATTACCTATGGTTACAAGTTTAAAAAGATACAGTTATACCTTCTATGTTGTACTTCAAATTTTGCACAGTACTTTAACAGCTGTTGTTGCATGTATCTTCTAGTTCATAAGATTACTGTAGCAGGACAAGTAATGAGTAATTTGTTTATTGATGGCTAAGCTCAAGCACCAGAAATAAAATTTTTCATTCCCTTTTCATAAAGTAGCCTCAAAAAAGACTTAATGAATAAAGCCAGCTTAGTACTTTTTGTTTAAGCAAATCAAATGATAGGTCATATTTGAGTGACTAAATATTGCCTGTATGCTAGCAACTCTTGCAGGCTTTTAAATTTTTTTCTATTAACTATAGATCTCAACAAAAGCTACTTTGAAAAACTGCTCATTGTCCAAGCTTCATTTTTTGCTTTGAGAATTTACTGAATTCATGCTGTTAAAAATTGGCAGCAAACCTTCACTGTGCCAAACACAAGGAAATCTTCTAATGGTACCATTTTTCTCTGTGGTACTTCTGATTGTCACCTCCGTTTATTGCGTAGGAGAAGTCATAAATTTAGGAAGGCAACTCTGGATTGAAAATTTCCTTTGGTTTTTTTCACGTCTACTCTTAAGATTGCCCTAAGATGTGGGAGTACTTTACATGATACCCAGCAGCTAAAGCATGGGCTTGGAGACATACTGTTGCTGTTGACGGGGAGGGTGGGTTAATTATGCAGCACTTTGCTTTTTAAGAGGCCATGCTATTTCCAAGCAGTTTTATCGTTTCTTAAGAAAATGCTGGGCCACAGGTATAACTCAGTGGTATGGCGCCTACCTGGCAAGCGTGAGGTTCTGAGGTTGATTCCTGGTTCAAAAAAAAAAAAAGAAAGTGCTGTCAGTTGACAAGAAATTGATTGTTATGGCCACATTTGACACAGCTAGTGCTGCTAGTTTGGTGTTGATGTTCTGTCTATGCAAATGTGGGGGAAAGAACCAAGTGCCAAGTGATTAGCCTTTAATATTGAGAAATCGTGGTGGGTAGAAGTATCTGATGACACACAAAAGAATAGTTTTTAACAGGAAAGAGATCACTTTCAAAGGGTATGGTCAACTTAATTTTTGAGTAATTTCTGATGAGGAACTAGAACAACTTAAGTTATTTGGCAGTTACCTAAAAGAACAGAAGGTATTGGGGAACATGATACATAATGTTATGAAGAACAAGTCTTGGTAGACCAATTTTATTTTCAACTTCGATAGAGTGATAGGCCATATGGGCAAAAGGAAGAAGTTTGTTATACTTAACATTACATAAGATTAGTTGAACTTCATTGAAGTTTTTGATTTGGTATCACATGGTAATCAGTAAGCCATGGCCTTTGCCGCTTGACTCACAGTTGGTGAGAGGGTATTGTGAAGCGTAGGCATGTGTGTTTGGGAAGAATGGTTTGCTGAGAATCCCATGCAGAGTGCGGAGAGGGGACCAGCATTTCTTGAGGCCTTCTCTACAAAGCTCTGTGCTAAATGCTTTTATAAACATGCTTCTTTGCTGCATCCACGATGTGCTATTATCATTCCTGGTATGTCATTGAGTTGGCTCAGGGAAATTATAGAATCATATACCTAATAAGTGGCCAACCTGAGAGCCAGGTTTCTCTATTTTAGAATAATTAATAATTTTTTATGTATTTAGCACAGGGTCTACAGAGTCTCACTACACAGATCAGACTCCTAGTGGTCCTCCTGTTTTCAGCCTCCCCAGCTCTGGGATTACAGGTAGTGGCTGGGGGCTGGCTGCTATTCCAGCATGTGGTGCACGGGGATCAAACCCTGGTCCCTGTGATTGCCTAAGCAGGCACTTTGTCTGCTGAGCTATCTCGTTGGCCCGATGGTTTCTCTATTTTTTGCTTGTTTGTTTTTGAGACAGGGTCTCACTGTGCAGTTCAAGCTGGCCTTGAACTCAAACCTTAAACTCCTGGTGCTCTTCCTGCTTCAGCTTCCTGAATGGTGGGATTACAGGCATGAGGCACCACACCTGGCCTCTCCTATATTTCTATTGATCTTGAACAAATTTCTTTTATGAGTTTTTTTCTATCTATGAAATGTGAGGGATTGCTATTCACTGTTGGATTTGGCATTACAAGATAGTTACTTTAAAAATGCAAGGGATAATAGCCATCAAAGCTTATGACAGGGCCGGCCAGATAGCTCAGTGGATTAAAGTGCCTGCTTATGCTTATGCAGAGTGTAGAGGCTAGGGTTCATTCCCAGACGTGCCATGCTAGCCTCACCCCTGGGGTGTGCTGAGACTGGGATTGAGACTGGGTGTGGTTGTGGGCATGGTGGTGCACACCTGTAATCCCAGCACTTGGGAGGCTGAAAACAGGAGGATCACTATGAGTCCGATCTGTGTAGTGAGATCCTGTAGACCCTGTACTTAAAAAAAAAAAAAAAAAAGCTTCTGACAAACTCAAAGGCTTAATCAATGATTAAGGTTTGACATCTGAAGTGCTCATTCTCATGGGTGTGGGCAACTGCATGTGTGAGACACCTGTAGTGGAGCAGGTAAGAATGCAGGCTCTAGAACTTCATTCAGTTGTTTTGAGTGCAAATCCTGGTTTGCTGCTTTGCAACCGGGTGACCACGGGCAAGTTTCTTAGTCTCTTTGTGCTCAGCTGCAAATGTGAATGCTACTGACAGAATTATTGTGGGAATTACTTAAATTAGTGCGGGTAAGGTTCTTAGAACAGCCCTAGGAATAGAGTAAACTCAGTGTGTTGGCTGCTAGAATTTGTATGTTGTCAGTCACCTGTGCAAATTTCAAAAGCTAGAAATACAATTTATAGACAGCTTTAAAATCAAAACCAGCACTTTTCAGACTGAGAGAAATTTAGTAGAAATAAGTATGAAATAACTTCTATTCAGGAGTAAATAAATTACACAGATTTAAGATAGAATAAGATGCTGACAAGAGCCATTGAAGCAGCCGTTCCCTGAGCCCCTCACTGTGTGCTCAGTCCTCACCAGTATTTTAAAAATGCACCTTGAGGGGCTAGGGAGATGGCTCAGTAGAATAAGTGCTTGCCTGGCAAGTGCAAGGGCCTGAGTTCAATCCCCGGTTCCGCCAAAAAAAAAAAAAAAGTGCACCTTGCACAACAGTATGAATGTATCTAATAACGCAAAATGGTACATTTAAAAATAGTTAAAAAAACAAACAGAAAAAAACCCAAACAATAAATTCATGTTTTATATTATACAGTCATCCTAATTTATCTTCTCAAAAAGCATATGAACTAAATCTTCATTTTGTAACTGAGGAAACGGACATTTCCATCACTTTCCTAATGTTGTGCAGTTAGTGTGCTGCCTGTCACAGAGGAACACAGACGTGAGTGCTTCTGCAGCTGTGTTCCACAGAGGATGCTGTGGGATCCGCACTTCTCTAAGGCAGTCAGAATAGGTAGATTCTAGGAGTGAGGACTGCACTGCAGATGTCATTAATTGGAAATGTTTACTTATTAAAACTGTGTGATAGGGGCTGGGGAGATGGCTCAGTAGAATAAGCACTTGCCTGGCAAGCACAAGGGTCTGAGTTCAATCCCTGGTTCAAAAAGAAAAAAAAAACCTAAACTAAAACTGTGTGATAGTCATTGGTTCAGATATAGAACTTCTTGCCTCGATTATCCATATATAGTTGTTTAATCAATCTTAGAAAACTTTAGAGACATCACTGTTAATAAGGATGAATGTAGTGAGTCCTAAATTTATATAGTGATTTATATTTTTTTCTTGAAACTGACGATGGAACCGGGCCTTACGCATGCTGGGCAAGCGCTGTGCCACTGAGCTGCACTCGGCCAGGTCATGTGCTTGTTACATGTAGTCAGCAGTTTTTGATGTTTGGTAATAAACTGTGCATTTTGGTGTTTTTTATGTCATTAAAGTTAGTATTCCAGCTAGGTGTGGTGGCTGCCACCTGTAATTCCAGCACTTAGGAGGCTGCGGCAGGAGGATAGTTGAGAGTTTGAAGCCAGCCTGGGCTACAAAGTGAATTCTGGCCAGCCTGAAGTACATAGCAAAACCCTGTCTCAAAAAGACAAAAAAAAAAAAAAAAAAAAAAAAAAAGTTAATATTCCAGATGTTACATTTGTCTTAGAATTTTAGCTCTTCTGATTCCAGATGGCAAGTGTACAGGCATTCGTCATTGGACATTTTCATAAGTATTACCTTGTTGTCTTTATTAATAAAAAATTAGGAATCTAAAAACACTTTTCTCATTGTATTTTATCATTTTAACATTTAATTTTCATCATAATTCTATGCTTGAG